CAAGGCCTCAGTCCTACATCTGTTGTAAAACAATGCTCTCCCACATGCCTCTCTAGATGGTGTACAAAGTATATGAGAGGACAGGATTTGAATTGACTCTATTTTCGAAACAGGCTGGAGATGTAGCTCGGTGGTAGAACCATTGCCTAGCATGTGTGAGGTCCTGCATTCAATCCTCAGAACCTCAAAAAACAGCAGGGCTGGTATTTTACTTCACTGAAATTGAGATATATATCTTACCTGTATTCAGTCAGCTTTTAATTTCTCAACCTCTCAGCACTAAAGTATCACAGTATATATTCTGAAACTTTCATTAGTAGAAATTGAATTCCATAATAAACATACTAGGAAGGACTAAAATCTCTTGCTGTGCTAGAATTTTGTTGCAAAATATGTTATGCCAATGAGTGTATTATCAAGGTGTGGGAAAATGTTAATTATACCATTTTTTGTCATGCTAGTACTTGATGCACTAAAATGTGACCCATCTCCCACAGTGCACATTGCCACTGGAGATACGAAGTTACGATCAACAAAGGAGTAAACCCCCGCATTTCTCTGTCATAGGACAATTGCAGTAGCAAGAGACAGCAACAAAATATAAATCTTTCCTGGGCTTGTGGAACAGAACCAGTGCCTCACTTTATGGGTCATCTGGTGCCCTCATGTACCTTCTTCCAGTGCACAAACCCTTTTTCAGGTTGAGATAGCAAGCACCTGGGTGACAGAGAACCACACAAGCACCTGAGCTGCTTCACAGCTGGCTCAGCGACTCTCCGGGCTCAGAGCCCTGGGACTCTGGGACTCTGGGATGGATGCAGCAGTGCTCCACACCTGGGCAGCTCGGGCAGCCATAGCAGGTTGGAGCTATTAGGAAGCTGGAGAGCATGATTGCTCAAGGGCAGTCATCCAACAAGGTCATAATACACAGATATCCCTCTGCCAGCTCTGCACCTGCTCCCAACTGTTCCTCAGGAGCCTACATATCATAAGTTCCCTGAGAATTATCACTGCACAAACCCAGTAATAGCCAGGAACCAAGGACACTGGTCCTCTTGTGTGATCGAGTGTGTGAGTGTGTGTGTGTGTGTGTATGTATGTGTGTGTGTTTGGACATGTGCACACACCTGCATGCTCAGCCTGAAAAAGAAAACAAGCTTGGTTTTTATATCATTTTAACACTTCGCCTTTTAAAAAACTTACAATTATCAATACAACGTAAGTTGTAGCAATATAGACAAGGCTACATTCTTTGCAGTCTTTCCAATATTTCTAAATTAAACTCACTCTACTGTACTTTATGTTCTGAAGGTTCTAAAAGCACCAAGTATTTTCATGAACCGAATACTAATAGTACCAATAAATACAACCAATCATCCAAAATGCTATTTCAAAGCAATCACCATTACCATTTTGCTCATAGTGGAGAGTGTAGCTAGTTAACACCTCTAAAACATACCTCAAGGTGCTGCAATTCAAGCAGAAAGTGTAACAAAAACATGTGCTGGCCACTTAAGCTGGTATTTAAATGCAGCACTGAAAATGCAATTCACACCCAACTTCATCAATCACCAACCAATCTTACTTTGCATCTTGGCTACCAAAAGAAAATGGGATTTGTTTCCCTGAAGAAATATGTCACTGCCTTGCTTGAATTATTAAGCTTTACTATTAAAGAGAGAAACGGAGTCAAAAATAAGAAAGAAAAAGGAAATAAAATTAGTCACAGGTTGCCCTCTACAGTCTCATAGCAGCATTGTTCATTCCTATAGCACCTGATATCTGAATATCAGTAAATATCAGTAGCAAAGACAGGACAAAATGTGTGACTACTGTCTTCATTATACATGCAACCAAGATGAAAACAGTGTATAAGGAACACTGTAGTAACTATTTGCATAATTTAACAATTTCTAGAAAATCATCACAAAGGCTTTAACCCTAAAATTTTACCCTTGGAAATAAAACTGAATAGCTTAATTAACATTAAATGTTAAGTACAGAAATCTATGTAGATTTCATCTCTAAAACCAACTCCTTACATTATTTTTCATGATCTAGGCTCCCCACGTATTTCACTCTGCTTTGGCTTCAAATCCTTCTTAATCCTGCCTTTCCAAAGAAAAAGAGCTCTCCTCACACAGAAACATCAAAAGCACAAGCACAGTACTAATTGCTAAAATAGATGGCATTACAGTAATGGGCAACTTCAATAATAAATGAACATGAAGGCAGAACTGAGAGGAGAGAGGAGGACAGAAGGAGGGAGGGGAGCTTTTGATATTATAATCTGGAAAATTCTATAGCCAAAGACATTTGCAAGGAGATAATGAAGGAGAAACAGCTCCATTTTCAACATTACGGATATGAGCTACTCTGCTTAAACATATCAAGTGACAGGTTAATCCAGAGAACTGCACAAAATCTTTTTTCACTTCTCATGGAAAAAAAAGTGTTAATGGAAGACAAGGTCTTTCAGGTTGTAACCTGCCTTTCCAGGCTATATGTTCTTTCTGTCATGATGAAAAGATACAAAATGTTAGGTCTACACTCTTTAACTGTGCCTTCTAGGTCAGTAGTACAAGCTCCTTACTGGGAAAAATATCCAGTCTCTGAAACCTTCACGTGAAGGGCACCAGCAGCTGCTCTGGCAATTTTAAAACCTATAATCCAGGGCCGGGGATTTAGATCAGTGGTTCCAGCGCCTGCCTTGCAAGCGCAAGGACCCAAGTTCGATCCCCGGTACCAAAACAAAAAACAAAAAACAAAAAAAAAACCCTATAATCCACACATTACAAAGCTCCATTGGAAAACACCCACTTAAGATGGGCAATTATCTAAAACAACTGCAAATTCTCTCAAGACCAGGAAAGAGTCACTGGGAGCAGCTACCTGGGCCTGGCACTTTTTAAAAATGACTGACTTCAATATTAACTATACTTTTATTATTTTCATCCCCACAGATACAAATATTGTTGAAAACTATTTGTGAATTTCTACAAAAGCAAAAATACTTTCTAATAAAGACTGCCTTCCTATGGGAAAGGCCAATGTTAATGTGTCTCTGCGTTTCCAAGTCTCTGAAAACAATGTAACAGGAGAAGATAATCATTCCCCTTCTTCCCAGAGACAACTACTAAATCCAGAAACTTTTAAAGTATATACTAGAATAGGAATTGAGGTTTCCATAAGCTAATAAGAGCCTTACAGACAAGAGGCGAATAACGTATCTATAAGCTTTTTAGTCAATAATTCATGAAAGTTTTAAATGGGTTCTGTTCTTAGTGGTTTTTAAAGTATTACCAGAACTTATCTATTTTTTAACTTCCATCATTCATTCATTCAACATTTATTAAGTGCCTCATATCTGTTTGACCTGTTTCCGTGATCAGGATTTTTTTAAAAAAGGAAAAAAACTACCAAGACATAGCCCATGACCTTGAGGGTTTCAATGTCTAGTTTATATTGATTAACATAAAGCCTCGTGGGGGGGGGGGGCGTGAGTGTGCACGCGCGCGCGCTCCAGGTGATTGAAGTCAGCACCTTCGTGCTGAGCTATGTCTCAAGCCCTTTTTTATTTTTTATTTTGAGACAAGTGTTGCTAAGTCACCAAAGTGCTCCGGCTGGACTGGAACTCTTCCTGCCTCCGCCTTCCGTGGGCCCTGGGGTTACAGGTGTGCAGCACCTCACTGACAAGCCTCGATTCTTTTTAAAGCTCAAAGTCTAACTTGTTCTTCCAAGGTAACTTCTTTTCTTTGATTCCTGCTACACAATAGGCACTCAATAAAAATTTGCTACCTGTATTTCACCCTGATTTCCTAGTTACTGAAAAAGATTGTAGAGATTTAAAAGATAAGCAAAATTTTAAAGATAAAACACATAGGAACCCACATATTAAAGGTAGATACTGGGCTCAAAAGAATTAAGGGGGTTGCCCAAGGTCAACAGCCAAACTAGGACAGGAATCTAAGACACTTGATTTCCGGCGAATCTCCATCACTAAAGATGTAAACCCCTCCCTCTTTCTTAATGGACGCATGAACGCTTTTCTTCTAGCTCTTTAGTCTCCTATGTAGTGTCCTCTCCGAGTGGAGTTTGTGCTGCTTCCTCAGCTGGGAAGCCACATAAGCTGCAAGCAATGCGAACATGACTCTGCGCCTGCACTTTAACATCAGCTGTGCCTCCAAGTCTGGAAGTCAGTGGCGGGTACAGACTCCTCATCCCATTTCTCCTCTCCCAGGTCCCACAGGGGAGTGAAAGCACTGGTCTGTCTCCAGGCGGCCTGCATCACTCCACTCTCACAAGTGTTCCCTGTCTGAGAACACACTGGGAATAGAACAGAAACCATCCCCTCTTCACCAAGACCTGAGGTGAACATCTGCCATGTCCAGTGCATTCTTCATACTTTCACCCCACTGTCAGCTCACAGGAGTGAAATCTCAGATGAATGCAAATGTCTCACAAATTTATACCATCTCTCACCTGCCAGTGCAAGATACAACTATGTAATTCATTTTGATGGGGAAACTATTGCTTATTAGTAAAGTTTCTGTGTATTTAGTATTCTCTTGGATGTCAGTATTTTTCAGGAAAGGCTAAATCTATCTAAAAGCAAATCACAGTGCATTGGGACCAGGGCTACAGACCCACTAACAAGGGAGACCAGTGGCAAGAGTAGATGGTAAAGATGTGAATGTAGCACTACTGGTAGGAGCAGAGGATGGCAAGTTTTATCTTTTCTGAATAAGAGCACCTCAAGAACTATTTGACCTCAAAACAAATGACCTCAAACCAGAACATCTAATTACAAAGAGAAATTGAGCCTGAAAACCAGAAGGTCATCGCCTATGTAAAACATCGCCTTCGCAAAGAACATCACCTTCTATGGCCATAAAGAGCATCTTTTCTGGACCCAGAGAAATGATTTAATGATTAAAAATTGTATCACTAGTCTAAAATAATAATAACCAGCAGCAGCAATACAACAATGACAAACTCACCACTGTTAAGAATTGTTTGTTGCGAATTCTTCAACTTTACATTTTGTTTCGCCTTTGTGGGTTTCTCTGAATTCCCCTCAACTTTTTTCCCTTTCCTCTTCAGAGGCTGAGGCGATGAGTTGTCGCTGGATCTGATTGTTGACTTAGACTGGCGATCATTTCCCTAAGTGGTGAAAGAGTGGACCATTAGCAGTGGCAGAGGAACCCCCAGAGGACTCGTGGTCTGCACCTGATAGTGGACAACAGGACAGGATACTGACTTTGTGACTGTCCTCAAAATGCCACACTAACTCAAATCCATCTTTTTAGAGGTAGAAGTGGAGTCTGGCAGAGGAAGAATAAAAATAAGAGCTCACAAGTGTTGAGCACCTAATGTGTACCAGGTATGCTACAAAATGATTGCCCTCAATGCTCATGCAACCCTGTGAGCTCATGTAGGGGGCTCAGACCTAATTAATGTCCCAGAAAAGCCAGAAGCCTTCACACCCTCTGCTCTGTGCCTGTCTGAAGGACCAGCAGGTGTCTATGGGATGAAGATGGCTGGTGGTTCTCTGATCAGCTAATCTAGAAATACCTTCCTAATTATCTATCACTGTGCATGCATTGTGGTTGCAGAAATGCTCCAGAATTAACTCATCTGTTGGTGACCACCAGTCTCGAAGAACTGCAGATCCGAAGCAAGGTGGAGATACAAGTAGCTCAGGACCTCATGTTCCCATTGTGCAGTGCACCCTGCTTGTCCTCGACTCCTGTAAGGCAGCCACCAGTGACTATACCATCAGTGGTGGGCTCTGGTCCCCACAGGCATCTCACAGTGAAGACCTTGCCCCTGCCAACAGTGGGCTCCTGGACACAGCCCTATCCACTGCAAGGGTACTGCAAGGAACAGCTGTGCAGCTGCTCAGGCACTGCCTGCTCCAGTGAGAAACCCCTCCCAATGTGGCAACCTTGGCTCTCAGATGCTCAGTGCTATCCTTGACTGAGTGTGCACTGCAGTGTGCAGACTGCAGGTAGCAGAAAGAGTGCAAGCTTTAGAGACCCAAAATCCCTGGCTCAGTCACAGCTCTGGAGTCACTTCTAATGTCTTTGAGCCTCAGTTTCCCCATCAGTTGAACTGACTTATATACCTGCCTTTAGGTGTATTGTGAGAATGAAAGGAAACATTCAAAAGGGGCTGGTACAGTGTCTGGGGGTGAGTATCAGAGTGCTTTCTCTAGGAGCAGAGAGTTAATGACTTTTTCTTTAAAACCTCACACTATAATGGGTACAATCTTTATACAACAGCTATACTATGCTAGTATCTGAAAATAAATGTAGTAATATTAAATAAACAAATCTACCTAGAAGCCTATTATAGCTGCTCATTTTAAATATTTATATATTCAGTCGTCCAAAAGCATTTAAATGGTTTTAGCCATCACCCAATTAAGAACAGAAAAATTTGCAGCCTTACAAATGCAGTTATTTATGCTGTTTTGTCATAGCCTACAGGAAAATGAATTATGCATAGATTTGTTAGCAGTATGGAAACTTGTCCAAATCTATAACACTTTTTTCATAATTTAATTTCCTACTCCAACTGTAACTCAAACATACAGTTTCCATTTAATTATTGCATTAACTGCAACCAGAGGTTTTTCTTCTTTTTTTTTTTTTTTCTTTTCAATGATTCTTTCTCGCAAGGCCATAAGCTATCTAACAGAAGAAACAGTTAATATAATTACAATGGAGAAAGCCTCCTATTCCAGTCATTTTCAATAGACTCTATTCATCCCAAGGTTTTCAAATTGTAAAAGCTTTAGGTGAGAGGAGCAACCCTTCCAAGCAGCTGGAAGGTCCAGAGGCAGTGTTAAACTTGCCAGCACTGGAATGAAACTGGGCAAGGGAGGGACTGGGAGCCTGGCAGGAGCACTCTCCAGCTCTGGGAGGGGTTGGGAAAGAGTGCAGCAAGGGAGGAGCAGAGCCCTCACCTTGCGATGTCTGGGGATGAATACCGTTTTCCTAATCCCTGTTAGGCTGAACACACAGGAAAATTCTGATTTACTCCACTTCTGCAAAGGACACTCAGAAGAGTGATTTGGGAGCACTGAAACAAGCCTAGTTGATTCACACACTGTATCCGGTGTGTCTTTGTTAGCTGACCCTCCCTCGTACATTCAGGACTGCACGGTAACTAATTTCCTGGCACTCTGTGAGTAAAAAGTAAAGGAACCTGAGAGAAAGACTCGTTCTGTATTTTGATTGGAAATAATTGAGATGTTTTTCATAAAAAGAAAAAACATTGACTCCGCTAAAGTGTTAATAACAAAGATAAACAGATAGCACATTATATATATAGCACATAATGTATAAGTAATATACATAATATAAACTAGAAAATTTATTTTAATACTTGACTATACCAGTTATACTTGACAGGTAAGTAAAGTATATGTAGTTAGAGAGGGAGCCAGGAAGGTGGAAGGAGTGGTCTTTTCTTTCTTGAGGCCCCGCATGTGATCTGTAATCTGAATACAGATATTGCCATTGCTATTTGGGGGGCATATAAGATAGAGGGGGCTCTGCCAACTCACACACCTATAAGATTGATAAAATTGAGTACCTCTTATGTTCTACCTACATATTAGCACATAGCTGCCAAATTTTTAGGTAAGTATTGTTATCTGCATTTTATAACTAAAGGAATTCACTGCTCAAAGCCTGGTTATTCTACTACACTGAAGCTTTCTAATGCCACAAAACTAGAAGCACCTGTTATAGAGCATGGTTCCCTAACATAGCCATCCCAAAGGCTTTATCTCAAAATGGAAAGAATCAAGAAGCAGCCTAATTTTATAGGGCACTCTACCAAAAAAAACTAGACCCCATGCTGGGCTTCAATCACTTCCCTGCCTATAAATATGTGAGGTGTGATTGAAAATATGGTGAAGGCTTAACTTTAAAAACTATATTACTGTAAAAGACACATTGCTATTAATCTCCCTCAAAAAAAAAAAAAAAACCTCTCATTTCAAACACACTTATCCCATTGTTCTTGCCACTTTCTTAAGTAGCTCTGGAAGTGCTCTTTCTTGGCTGTGCTGTTGTGGCTTCCTTGATGTCCTGAATGGATTCAAAATGTTTACCTTTCAAGGTCATTTTGAATTTGGGGAAGAGCCAAGAGGCACATGTGGCAAATCCACAGAAGAAGGTGGATGAGGACACTGTATTGTGTTTTTATCAGCTGCCTTTCCAGCGGATGGCACTCAGCACAGTGACATTGACCGGATATTTGATCACACCTCCTAAAGATACTCAGGAAAGAGAACTTCCAGAACTGCTTCAGAAAGTGGCAAGAATGATGGGATATGTGTGTTTGAAGTGAGGGGGAGTATTTTGATGGAGATTAATACCAAAAAAAAAGTTTAAATATTCAGTTATATTTTGATCCGCTCCGTGGAACTCACAGGACTGCAATCGTACAAAAACCAAAACCAGCCCTTTCGTCACCCCTCTAGAGAGACTGGGGTTTGATTTTGTTTTATTTTACAATTCCCTAGGCTCTTTCCCAGGATCCGCCTAACTCTGGTTTCTTTCATTCCTTCATTTCCAGCCCTCACAAAAAAATATGCCAGAAACAATCTGCCCTAAAACATCAAGTCTGGGAGTTTTGTGAGGGTCTGTCTCGGGCATCGCGCATGTGCAAGACAGAGGGGCTTTCTGAGGGGGCTCTGGATGGCGACTTGGCTGACATTTCTCCCGTTGCACCCGGGCAGCGCGGGTGGGAGCCGTCCTCTCGCCCTCCCTGGACTCAGTTTCACCTCGTGGCGGAGTACAGAGTATTAGGACTTTACTATCATGTTTGTAACTTGCTTCACAATGACCCTGTGATAAGAAGTCATGACAGTCATGTAGTTTTTAATAAAAATTAGAAATCATCATGGCGTCCTGTAAATTATTATTACGAACATATCCTATTGCTGCTGTCTGTACGCCCCCAGGTGATGCGGACCAGGAAGAGCTGGTGGCAGGCGCTGACCCCTCTCTCCGGTAGGGGGCGCGCTGGCCCGCGCGGCGAGCTGGCCCAGCCTTCCGGAGCGAGCAGGTTCCTTCCCAAACTCAACACAACTCAGGGTGACTCTTTTAAGTCTTCTCTTCGTTCCTAAGGATAGAATCGCGACCCAAATTGCTCTCATCACTCTTTGCCATGGGCCCCCACACTGGCTCCGCAGGACGCATCCCAGGCTGTCCCCGGGCAGGGTCCCCACCAGTTCCCTGGGCTGCCCAGGCCAGCGGCTCCCTCCAGCCTCCGTCTTTAGGCAGCACAGAGAGTCCCAGAAAGCCGTGTGGAAAAATAAATTCCCAAAGCCCTGACCCGTGTCCCTTTCCAGCTGCGGCGGTGGTGGAGGTCGAGGCCAGCTGTCCCCCACAGAGTCCCTCCTCGCGCCCTCTCTGCTCCTATCACACGAGGTCCCCAGGGAACCTATGCGTTAGAGGAACGGAGCACACTCATCCTCACGCTGCTAAAAATCCAGCTCGTGACTCTTCCCTGCCTGCCGAGTGTCCACCTCCAGCCCCACAAGCGGCTCAGGGAACACCTGCTGCGCCCAGCAGAGGGTGCTGGGGTCCCTGACAAGCCCGCTTCCCTTCTTGTGCTTTCTCCTCCCAACTCTGACGCGTTCTTCAGGCTCATTCTTGGCTGACAGACAGCAAAGGTGTCCTGTGTGTGTTCTTTCTCCTCCTCTAGAGCGCACCCTCCACACCTTTACTGTTTCAGATCTCCTGACCCCGCGCCCTAGAACAGAGCCCAGGACAGAAGACGCCCCTCAGAACAGCTGTGGGGAAGGAGTCCACCCACGAGGCACACTGAGGCAGGGTGACGCCAGACACCCTTCTGAGTCTGCTTTCCCTGGAATGGGCCTCTACCTTATAACTTTGACTGTTTATAAGAGTTACTTCCTCCGTGGGGGCTCTCCTGACACACCTGTCGACATGTGTTTTACTGTCTCTCACATTACTCTCGTTTTTATCATACTTTAATTACACACTGATTTGTGGAATCCTTGGTTTAACTCTTGCCTCCTCAAGTAGACCATGAGCATCCTGGGGAAGGTGGCATCTTTTTCTCGTTCCTGTCTCCCCAGGGCTCAGGAGCAGCCAGACACACACAAAATAGTCACCATTAGATGTGCCAGTGTTGGCAACAGAGTCTAAGCGAGAAAAAAAAAAAATTGCAGCTGTGTGTGGCTCATGCATCTTCAAGCAGAAGATGTGTTACACTTTTCACTGAAAATTTTAGATTTTAAATTTCAGAAGACTAGACATGAAATTCCAAATTTCAGTGATCATGAATGTGAAGAGTTGAGTCAGAACTTTGGTCCTGATGTCCACTTTCCCTGTTCCCTAGGTCAGTTATCCAGCGACACTGGGTCTTTTCAAGCATCACTTGTGCTCTCCAGAAGCAACAGGGCTACAAGAGGACAAAACACAATTCCCCAACCCTACATTCTTGGGTTTTATGTGGCTGTTTAGTGGCTGCCTCTGCTCCTCAGTGAACACCATAGTCACAGCTATCTGCAGCCATGATGTCCTTAACAGGCCTCCATTGCTTGCTGAGCACTTCCACCTAGATTTCATGATGACATTTCCAACAGGACAAGTTTGAAATAAAGCAGGTCATTATCTCTGGCATCCCAGCTCAGAAGGTCTACGGTTATCTCTGGCTCCCATCTCTGTCTGACTCCAGCATGTCCAATCACCAGGCAGTCCTTCGAGTCTTCACAGTCATCTCCTCTTGCTACCTTGGCCCCTGGCCCAGGCTCCTACCTCCTTTGACCAAGGCCACTGTGATTGCCTCACAGCTGAGGACGAATCTGTGGCCTCCCATCATGCTCAGTCTTTCCCTGCATAAAAGACCTGAGGTTTGAAAAAAGGAGAATAACAGGACTTTTTGTTCTGGTGTTCAGCCATCCATCCATACACCATGGGCATCTGTCCCACAGGGTCAGTGCCCAAGCTCTGGGTAGACCCTGAGCCCCATCCCTCCTTGCCATGGGCGCAGGGGGAGCCTTGGACAGTTGGCTGCTGCCCTCTGTTCCTCCTTTTTTATCTTAAAGACAGGTCATCAGGGTACTGGCCTGGGGCTGAGGAGCAAATAAAGAAAAGAGAACAAAATGCAATTCCCATGCTCTAAATGCCTGGGTTTCTCTGGTGGTTCACTCCAGCTCGTGTAGGAGCTTGGCTCAGTGTGGAGCCCTCAGTGGTCACGCATCCAGCCAGCATGACTGCCTCTCCACCTGCTCAGTCTCCTCCTGTTCTCCACCCTTGGTACCTCAAACCCTGTCTCCTGTCCACCTTCACCTGAGTCTCAAGTGGTTCTCAAGCCAGAGCTCCAGTTCAGCTTCCTCACTGCCAGCACTCAACAGTTTCTTATTCCCCCTCACAGTCACCAACCTCAATGTGTCTTTGATTTGTAGCTTTCACTTGTTTATTGCCTTTACAGGCTGTCTTCTCTGTTTCCATTAGGTTGCATGTTTCTTGAGGGCAAGAGCATTGTCAGAAATAGGACAAGATTCCAGCTAATGATTGCTCATAAATGTGTCTGTAGTGCTGAGGTCAGCACTACTTATGCATACCAAACTCGTTTTCTCTTTTTCAAGAATTTCATATGACAAAAGGGGAATGATGGCATCATTGCACATCAGTCATTTACTTTACAAACTCAGGATGTTGCTTCATTAAATAATTCAGGGTGGGGTGGGGGAATGGCACACCAGTTCTGGTCCCTACTGGTGATTCCATCAAGAGGGAAAGAAGAGGAAGAAGGCTTAGCCAGAGCAACACATGAGCCACACAGAGCAGGACATGAAGTCTATCCTGTGGAGCGTCTAGGCTCTCAGTGAATATAAGTTAAACCTTACTTACTAACCGCTTGTCACAGTTCCTACACAATAAGTGTTTTATAAATGTCTGTGGAACAAATAATGAATGAGTAATAAATGGAAAAGATTTGGATATAGAACTAAATATTTGAAACGATTCTCAATCTTTTAGAGAAAAATAACAGGGGATTACTTACTATTCTCTTCCTTTCAAACTTCTTTTTGAATCTTTGTCAGAGATAGAAAACAAGTCTTAGGTGACCACTGGTGTGACCTATTAAGGCAGTTCTTTTTATTTCATGTATATGTATTATTGCCCAGATGCCAACATCTATAAAGTATATCAAATATATATATTTATATGCAAAAATATTCTGAAATCTATATTCTAAAAATATTAGCTGTGTTTTAGGTACTTAATTAAAACATTAAAGTTCTAGTGTAGATTCACATAATTGTTTATATGGCAGAAGACAATCAAGTCTAATTTCTTTGAATTTAATTGAAACCCAAAGGACAATCTCTCATACAGAAAATGCAGAACATTAATGAGGAAAGCATCTGATACTTACGCTCCCTTTAGACTTCCTGGATCCTACAATAGGAGGCAATGAAGAAGCTTTCTGACTGTGGAAAGAAATTGCAATTTAGACATCTGGATGTTATTTACAAATTCTAATGCAAAATAATCATCAGCCCAACTCAGAAGTCAACTGTTCACTGACATTCTGTGTTTCACAGAAAATGCTATCTACTTTCTCAATTTCACAAGGACTACCATAAAATCTCCAGATTCCATTTCAAAAGATTTTTAATGTTTTCCTGTGTACTATATTAAGTGATGCTTAAAAATAAAATTTTACTTTAAAATAAATTTAAATATTTTCATAGCATTTTTATTCAAATCCCCAAATTTTCAATTTACATTTTTAAAAAATCATTTCTCAAACTAAGTATTGACTGCCAGGTTGAGTGAAAAAAACATAAATTTTCATCGCTTTTCTAATGTCCATGATGTCTACTTCTCATAGAAGAGAATGAGGAAATAATGACATTTACATTCGGGGAGCTTTTAAACCAGTCACTGTCATCAAAAGTAAAAAAATTCTTTTTTAGACTATAAATTGCCTCACAGAATGTCTACACTCTTAGGAAAAGACCCATCTTGAAACTCAACTCAATGTCTGCCAAGGTAGGACACATAAAGGTGAATCTTACTAATAGGCCAACATGAGTTATAGTTTTCATTTTACTGTCAAGTACACACTGCTGCTCATAGCTGGGTAACCCAGTGTGGCTTAGCAGAAATTGCGAAAGGATTTGATTTCATGGCTGAGTGAGGATTGTTAGTAATAAGTCTCCTGGTAAATAATTCTCAAGTGCTGGGAAACCACGTGCTCTCGCATAGCTCACACACTACCCGTGAAGTTCCCTTCCTTCTAGTACTAATTTAGAAGCCTCGGCCAGCCTCCCCAGCAAGCGACACAACTTATAAAATAACGGAAAATACTTTGGGGATAGTCTGTTCTATCTCTGCAGGGGACAACCACAAAAATCTGTTTTCCCACAGCAAAGTGGCCACAGAATCTCTGTGGAAAGCAACACAAGAGGAATCCCGGGGGACAGTGAGCAGACCGAGAGGTCCCATATTGGGAGCCGAAGCTCTCCTGCCCAGCCCTGCTGCACACACTCTGAGCTGAGATCAAGCACCTCTCGCAACACATGACATCTCACAGAGACACAAAGTTCACAGGGCATCGAATGCAATCACAAGTGTGATCCTTAAACCTGCACTTGATACACACGTAGCTGTTGACTTGTATGAGTGGAATGATAATGCTTTTGTAATTTATAGCTATTAAAAGAGGTGTAAAATATGATGTTGATTTTTTTTTCCTCTAACATCTTTGGGTGCTTCTACCCAAATTAACTGAAAAAATAATTTGGTCTAGGTAAATTGTTAAGACACTAAAATTCCAATAAAATTTATACAGAGAAGATACATTTATATAGAGAATTTATATATAGAATATACATCTCTCTGTATCTTCTTCACAAGAATAAATCTTTATATTTACTATAAATTTAGTGCAAAGTAAAAAGAAATAATAAAATACTATGAGAGTCTTCTATAAGTGCTAAAATATTAGATTTTTGTGCAATAGCTCCTATAGCAAGAAAAACAAAGGGCAACGTATATCATGTGTGTTTTCCATTCTAACCAATAAATAAGATTATCAGTTACATAAAATAAAATTGAGGTCAGCAAAAGACCCAGTGCTATTTCAAGTGATAACTAAAGCCTGAAGAAGATGAAGGAAGAGAAAGACTTACCCATAAGGCCTCCTCATGGTGGACTTGTCAAAAAGTAACTCACTGTAAGGCAATTTCTTAAACCTATCTCTGCCAACAGCCACATAAAATTGTCCGTTCTCCAGCTCCGCCCCGTTCTCAACAAGTTTTCCTTCTAAAGTATAAAGTCTGTCAAAATATCAGTGCCAACAATCAGAATTTCAATAAGTACTTAAAGAACTGCTTTAAATTACAAAGTAAATAAAAACCTTCTGTTCTTTGGTTCGTCTGTTATTCTTTAATTACTGAACTATAAATGTCTCAAAGTCACAAGATTCAATGAAAAGCCTGCTTTAAAATGTAGATCTATATTACTATCTAGATGTGTAAGACTTTATCCAATGAGTCACCACTGACTGCAAGGATCCCGTAGTGCGGCCATATTATGATTTTAGAGGAGGAAAAAAATAACTTGTACAGCTAGCTACTCAGATTCATTTTTTCTACTTAAATTTTGTGAGCACTGTTTAAATGCATTTTTTTGTGTGTATCTGTTAGGCTGGCACGCTGCTGGGCACATTCTGTGTAAGAAGAGCCCCCAGCCAAACTATCACAATCACACACAGACAAAACTGTGTTAGAACCAAGGGGGTTCGTGTCAGGAGCAGGAAAACCCCGACCAGCAGCACTGATGTGGAACTACATAGCATTCATGCCTCTGTCTTCCCTGTCGGCTCCTAGCAAGAGAGTGCTCACACACACCCCAGATCCCAGGGTTCACAAGCACCTTCCTTTACCCTGAGGCTGCTGTGAACCAAATTAATGTATTACTTATTAAAGAACAGTGATAATTTTACTAGATGATCTAGAGTGCCCACAGACCTTTTTTTAAAAAACATAGAGGGAAAAAAAGACCATTAAAGAACTAAGTCAGGAAAACAATGCCTATTTTTGAAGATTATCACAAGCCAGTTGCTAGAAAGATTTCAATTACATAGTAAATGTTATCAACTTTGGCAAAGACAAAAAGAAAAGCCATTGAGCTGCCTGTTTGTTTGATGATTACATAAGTGGTTGTATCATAGGCAGCCCTGAAGGGCACTGAAAATAGTCACCAACCCCCTGAAACATATTTGTTTCCAATTTGTATACAGATAGCAAAGTCTCTTTCTTTGTACCATGGTACTTGTGCCCCTACACATCTAAATATCAACACAACACAGATTGCTGTTTCTCCCGTCTTGCCCTAGACCAGAGTTTCTGAGTAGCCACGGCATAGTTCACATTTTGGACCCCAGGTTCTTGGTTGGTGAGGGAGGAGATTGTCCCGTCCCCTGCAGCATGCTTAGCAACACCCTTGGCTCTGCCAGGTGGAGGTAGCCACCACTCTCATCCCCACCTGTGACTACCAAACCCAGCTCTCCACACTGCCAACTGTCCCCGGGGGCAAAACTGCGCCTGGCTGAGAACCACTGGCCTGGAGCCAGACATTTTTCTTTCATTTCCCTTCAAAATGTTTAGCTCTGAATCAGTAGTTAACTTTTACAGCTCAAAATTCAAAGGCAACATAGCCGTAGTGTCCAAATCTCAAGCGAAGAGTGGACTAGTTTTTTCTATGGGTAGCAGATAAAGAATATTTAATAAACCCTAATGCATGATTTCACTTTCTTGTATATTGCTCTGATTGGCCTGCTTTCTTCCTTTGCTACAAAACATAAGTCATGAACTAGGAGTCAAACCAATTTTTATTATGGGATGCTACTGATACATAAGTTGTGCTGATGCATAGAAAGACTTCTTAATGTTCTGTTAAAGAAAAGTGGGCTTGTTCCAAATAAGCATCAATCAAATCTTACCCACATCTGGCCTTACATTAAGAATTAAGTTTCTCTAAGAAATCAAGTGTTCAGGAGACATATGGTGCCATTTCTATGTTACACTTGCATACATTTTATTTCTATGTTTGAATTTGTTTGTATAAATTTGGATATATAAAGATATATACATATGAGGTGTATTAGAGCATGTGAAGGTATATTGAGGCATGATACTGTCTGTATATATTTTTGTATGCTTTATAATTTATTGGGTGAGATTGCACTTATGCAGATGTTAAAAGACAACACTGTAATCTCAGAATCAGGTAGATCTAAGAGAGTCAGAAAACTTAGTGAGGATAAAGTTTGAAAATTTGACATCAAAATTCAAAATGTTTATATGCAAAAGAAATATAAAGAAAATGAAAGCTGGAAATATTTAAAATTCACATGAGAAAGAGCCTAATGTGTAAAGAATGCCATAAATCAATAAGATAAAGGGCAGTTTACATAATGGAACACATATACGTGTCATTTACTTAGAAAATGGGTTAGTAATTAAGAGCACAGGTTCTGGAGCCAGACTGCCTGCTGGGCTTGAATTCCAGCCCTGCTTTTCACTGTTTGAATAACCCTGGGCAAGTAACTTTCCTGCTCGGTCTGACATTTCATGCCTATGAACACTACTTGCTTCATAGGATCACTGAGTTAATAAAAAAAAATATAAAGCATTTATAATAATTCCTGGAACACAAGAATCAAAGAGATGTTGTGTATCAAATAAATAAACATCAAGACAATGAAATATAATTTTTATCCAACATGAATAAAAAGACAAAATATTTTCTTAGTTTTACAGCACAGATAAGAATAGGAGAGGCCCTCTCATAAACTTTTGGGGAGAGTATAGATTAGTACAAATTCTGTGGCAGTATTCATCAAAATTTAAAATGAATCTGCCACATAACACAATTCAACCCTAACCTTGAGTCTCCTGATGAACTCTGCTTATGTTCAAAGACATTTTTGTGTGATACCAAAGATTGGAATTTACCTAAAATTTCCAACTAGAGGATAAAGTAAAATAAATTAGGACACACTCACAAAATGGAATACTTGGCCATTATCTAAGAATAATCTCTAAGATTTGTTGTTTCAATAAAAAAGCAAGGAAGGAGTGTTATGTGTACATATATTTATTTATTTGTACATGTATATGCATATGTGTTCACATTTATGCCTTTAAGAAAGGACATATATACTTGCATATGCATAGAATATTTCTAGACTGTTGCAAAAGAGTATGGGGGGGTGGGCTAAAGTGGGAGAAACACTTTTAATTTCTATTCTTTGACCCATTTGAATTTTTGCCACATTTAAAGTATTACTTTTAGGACCGGGGATTTAGCTCAGTGGTTCCACCACCTGCATCGCAAGTGCAAGGTCCCAAGTTCGATCCCTGGTACCAGAAAATAAATAAAGTATTACTTTCAATTAAAAAATTATATTTAAAATCTCAATGGCTATGAAGCATATATATTAATATATGTAAATATGCACACATTAATCTGTACACACATTTAACTGAAAGACAATATACAATCATTTGAGAACATACATTATCGTCTGTGTGAACATGAGAACTTGAAAATAAGAATGGATTTCATCAATGGAATATATTAGAGGTACCGAAGGGAACTATTGGAGAAACTCCTTGATAGGATTTCAAATATTTATGTGTGCATTACACACTCTCAATACATGTGTAAATGTATTATTGTATATTATTTGTGATCTTTCACCTGAAAGAAAACAAGTCAGCCTCCATCAAGGGATAATTTGATAGGCTTCAAAATTTTACGTGTGTGTGTGTGTGTGTGTGTGTTGTTTTTTTTGGTACCGGGGATCGAACTCGGGACCTTGTGCTTGCAAGGCAGGCACCGGACCCACTGAGCTAAATCCCTGGCCCAGGCTTCAAAATTTTAAAACCATGATTTCAATCATGTTCACTTAAATTTTAAAACCTGAGAAAAACTCTTTTGATATTTTAAATTTAGATGTTTATCTTCTGTAAACTGCCTACTCCTTAAAGCCATGAACATCTCCTGGCATTTGATATCTTTTTACCTAGGTACATAGTTTGAATCATCAAATAATTATATCTCATTTTAAAAAGAAGTTAATTAAGAGTCAAGAAGCTGGTTCTCTCAAAACAAAGTACTCACCACAATTGTTCATGCTTGCCTGTTCACTTGAACCCAAAGGAGTAAAAAGCGTTAATTCTTGCTGAAGGGATTCAATGGGCCCAGGGCTATTAGTTCTTCACGTGGACTGTCTCGTTGTTTTTTGTTGTTGTTGGTACCAGGGATCGAACTTGGGACCTTGCACTTGTGAGGCAGGTGGCAGAACCACTGAGCTAAATCCCGGCCCTGCCTCGTTTTTTAAAATGACCCCACGGGACAAGAACCGCTGCATATCCATTCTACAGATTAAGAAACTGAGGCAAACAGAGCCCAACTGGGGGGCCCAAAGTCAAATTGAGTGACCAGCTGCTCCAGCACCTGCTGGGAATATGTCCGGCAATCCCAAGCCCCTCCACCTGCTAGGAGAGGGCCTTACATACCTGTGGACAGCCCCGCTCCTGAGAGTGATTTTTTCTGTGACCATTTGTAGTACGTGATCCCATTGATTCAAGGCCTTTCTGGGGATGAGGAGGCGAGAAACGGGACTTATGAGGTCTCCATTAGCAATCAAGCTGGAGGGTGGAGGGGGAAGAAATCGAACCATATGAAACAGATAATGCCTATAAAACCCAAATTCCAAAGCAAAAGGAAAACATGAAGCCAATTTCAACCGGTGATGTAAAGGGCTTCAACTTACAAGATCGTGCAGGGTTCCTGGAGTGGTTTTCTAAAGCGTGCTGACACATTGATCCTGCTGTGGATTACTGGTTTTACCTTTGAAAGCAAAAAAAGGAAATAAAAATCTCTAAGCTTATTCTAGTCTCTTCTCTCCTCCTCTCCTCCTTCTCTTCCTTCTCCTCTCTCTCTCTCTCTCTCTCTCTCTCTCTCTCTCTCTCTTTCTCTGATTCCACTTATGAGAGAAAACTTGCAATGTTTGACAGTGTGGATAATTTTGCATAACATAATGCTCTCCAGTTCCATCCATTTCCCTGTAAGTTACAAGATTTTGTTCCTTACTGATGAATAATATTCCATTGTGTATTCATAGCCAACATTTTCTTTGTCCATTTATCTGTTGATGAGCAGCTGGACTATTTTCCATAGCTTAGCTGTTGTGAATTGTGCTGCAGTAAACATGGGTATGCAGGTATCCCTAATATATGCTGACTTTAATTCCTTTGAGTACATACCCAGGGATGGTATGTCGCTCTATTTGTAGTTTTTCAAGGAACCTCCATACTGATTTGCATAGTGATTTACTAATTTACATTCCCACCAGCAGCGCAGAAGTGTTCCTTTCTCTCCACATTGTTTTTGTTTTCATTTTTTGTTTTTTGTATTCTTGAAGATAGCTATTCTGGCTGGGAAGAGAAGAAATCTCAGTATAGTTCTGATTTGCATTCCCCTAATGGCTAGAAATGTTGACATTTTTCATATACTTATTGACCATTTGTAGTTTTGAGACACGTCTATTCAATTCACTTACCCAATTATTGACTGGGGGTTTTGGGTATTAATTTTTTGGAGGGTTCGTATATTTTGGATATTAATTCTCTGTCAGAAGAGTAGTTGGTCCAAATTTGCACTTATTCTGTGTAGGCTGTCTCTCCACTCTTATCTTTGCTGTGTAGGAAGCTTTTCATTTGATGCAATGTCATTTGTCAATTCTTGTTATTTACTCCTGTGCTGTTCCTATTCAGGAAAACTTTGCCTGTGCCTATGACTTCAATTGTCTTCACTATGTTTTCTTCTAGCAGTTTCAAAGTTTCAGGTGTTATTCTTGGGCCTTTGACCCATTTTGAATTGATTTTTATACAAGGTGTGGTATGGTTTAAAGGTCAAGAACATCCCCAAAGTCCTCCTGGGCTCACATGTGGGGCCGGAGGGCAATGATTGAACCATGGAGTCGATGTCCGGATCAGAGGATCATCTATAGGACAGTTTGGCAGCCCAATGTGCTATTGGAAGGCAGGACCCAGCGAGGAGAAGCAGGTCACCGAGGGAAGACATAGCTCCCTTTCTGGCTCCTTCTTTCATTCTCTGCTTTCTGACCACCATGATGTGAGCAGCTTTTCCTCTGCTCTGCCCTCTACCATCTTGTTCCAGCCTTGGGTCAGCCAACCATGGACTGTACCCAGCAGCCAAAATAAACCTCTCCTCCCTTAAGATGCTGGTGTCAGGTCTTGTGTCTCAGTCACAGGAAAATGACTAAGACAGGGTGAGAGAGAGGATCTAATTTCAATCTTCTACAGATGTATATCCAGTTCCCAGCACCATTTATCAAAGAGACTTTTTTTTTAATGGATATCTTTGGCCCTTTTGTCAAAAAATCGTTGGCTAAAATTTTGTGGGTTTGTTCTGCATCCTCTATTCCAGGTTCACATGTCTATTTTTATGCCACTACCATGCTATTTTTGTTAGTATGGATTCACAGTATATTTTGAAATTGGGTATTGTGATACTTCCAGGGTTGCTCTTTTTGCCCAGGATTGCTTTACCTATTCTGTGTTTCCACACAGATTTTAGGGTTGTTTTTTCTAGCTCTGTAAAAAATGTTTTTGGAATTTTGATAGGGATTATACTGAATCTGTAGATCCCTTTCAGTAATGGGCATTTTTTAAATATTAATTCTATGGATTCAAGAACAAGGGAGATCTTTCATATCTTCTTCACTTTCTTTCTTTGATGTTCTGTAATTTTTATTATAGAGGTCTATGAACTCTATGGTTAAGTTGATTCCTAGGATTTTTTTTAAGCTATTGTGAGTGAAATTGTTTTCCTGATTTCTTGGTCAGTAAGTACAATTGAAAAGCTATTGATTTTTTTATGACTTTGAATCCTGTCATTTTGCTGAATTTGTTTATCAGATCTAAAAAACTTCTTCCTTTTCTATTTGTATTCATTTTCCATTTAGTAATTTATCATGGAGATTATTTTATACTGGTATTCAGAGTGCAAGTTGCTTCATTCTATATTCTATGAATGTGCCATAACCTATTTAAACTTTCCCTAGGTCATTCTTTCAATTGTTTCTAAACAATTGCAAATAATCCCATGATAAATTTCCTTACAAATACATATTTGATAAATATGGCATATCATAGATTACTAAATGAGAAGCTTGCTAAAAGAAAGGGTAAGTTATTTTTTAGTTTGAAATTTATTGCAATCTTAAATTGATCTGAAGAGACTCTTGATTTACTTAGTTCATACTATAGAATGAGAAAATAGATTTGATATACAAGGAATGCAGTTTTGAGGCCAGAGTTGAGGTTTACATTACCCTTGGATGACAGCAAATCCCTTCCATGGCATACTGACTTATTCTTAAGGCTTAGCGTAATTTAACTGCAGATGAGTCTGCCCGTGTGAAGGACAGGCCTTTCTGATTCAAGGCCTCTAACAGAGCCTTCCTTTCCAAATTCCTGCTGCCTCTTAAACATCGCTATCCTGCCTCCCTGAATTCCCTTTAGAGCTGCTACCCACAAGTCCCTATTCACATATTTCATACTCAGTTGTTATCTTTCATGTGTGTGCCTGTTTAAAATTTCATCCAATTATTGAACTAAAGGTAAAAGTGAGTAAATTACACAAGCAAATAATATTAAATACCTTGTCTAAAATGTGCTTTAGAGCATAGATATCTATAAACATAATATATAGAAATTAATGAATGCACACTTGTTAAAATAATTATATAACTTTATTCTGAGTATATAAGTTGTTGCTTGAGATAAATCAAACCATCTGTTTTAAATAATCATTATTTTTTCCATTCAGCATGGCAAAAATATTTCCCAAGTTCTCAGGATTGATCACTTGACATGAATATTAATTTTAAATATATACTATTTTTAGTTATAACTAAAATAGCTAAATTATTGTTTTCAGATATACTAAGAAATCTTTAAAAATCTAAATGACATATCTAAGTTGTAAAAAACATGTTCAAGATCATCATATAAAGCAATTAGTGCTTTCTGAAAGAAAAAGTTTTCATTTAAATTGCATTTTTCTAATTGGAATTTTAAATTATAACTTATCACATTTTAATTTAAAAAATTAATTCAAATCTACTGTGTATAAATGGAGTTTTTCCAGAGCCCTGATGAGGGATAAAGTGTTAGTCACTCGGTGCTAATCAAGAGACAGTGTGGCTCTAGATAATAGAAAACATTACAAGAAATGAAATTTTAAAATTTTTATCACTTTTTCTCAATGGCTCTTATACTTTCCCTTACCCTTTGAAAAGAAATTCCACTGTAGACCTGAGAATAATATTAAATGTTAACACACCTAGCTACAAGGGATAAACACCCAGAGGTGGATGTGAAGTATTTCCACCTGGCCCCAGTGGAGCCAGGGACAAGGCTGTGGTGAGCAGGTTGAAGAGGGTTACTTTGGCTATGAAGCCAAATCAAATCAAAAGAAATAATCCACTCATTTGTGGAAACTAACAAGTCAATCTCAGAGAAGAATAGAATGGAAGAACAGTCACTAGCGACTGGGAAAGGCAAGGAATGAGGCAGCTGGAGAGGAGTTAGTTCTGTTTTTACTATGGTACAGTAGGGTAACTACTGGTCACAATGATCCATGATGTGTTTCAAAAGGACTAGAAGAGTAGGAAATTCCCAGCCCATACAAGTGAATAATGTTTGAGAGACAGAAATGCTTCTAATCTGACTTGATTAGCACACAACGTATACGCATATGGAATTATCATAATGTATCCCTTAGTTGTACAAATAAAGAAAATAAAAAGGCATCAGTACAAAACTCCAACTTTCATTTTGGAGCCAGCATAGTTGCTGTTCCTGCTTGGCATTGTCAGATGGTGAGGGTCACTGCCAAGTAAAAGCAAGACGTGCCAAGATGATCGTGGCCTCGCTCTGTGCTAGACTCTACACTACATTGGAAATCTGGTACATTGAGATATTGAGGAGTAGGTTGGCCCAGTGAACCAGGGAGAGGGGCTGCTCTAAAGACAGGCTGAGGATTCTGACAAACTCTCATTTCTACCCTCTGAGTAAAGGATGGATGGATGGATGGATGGACAGATTGACTTAATTTTTCTTGGAAGTATTTCCAAAGTCAAAAATAGTGAAAGTAATTTAACCATATTTACTGTACCAGGACAAAGAATGCCAAAGCTCTTGTGAAGTGTTTGGATAGAAATTACATGCTCTTTCTAATATATCACTTTGTCCCAGGCATCTTATTTAGATTATGTTTATGGCACAGAATTCCCACATGAAAATAAAAATGCTTCATGTAAACCTGATTAGTTTAAGTAAATAAATGAAATCAAGTTCACAATTCCACAGCTCACTAAGTAGGACATCAACATTCAAGTTAAAATCTGCATGAATTTGTTTACCAAAAAAAGAGCAATTAAACTAAAATCATTGCTTTTATATTATATTATATTTTATATTATTATATTATATATATTTTATATTTTATTATATATGATATATTTTAACATGTATTTAATATATATTTATATATATCAAGTTGATAGACTGAGTAACTGATTTGCCTGATATTTTGATTTCCAGAATAGATTGGCAAAACTTTTACAACTCAGTGTTTCACACCTCAATTTCTTGATCTATAAAAGTAGAAATCACACTGCTAACCTAGCCCAAAGGGATGCTCAATGAACTAATTAATGAAGTGGCAATATCACTCCCTGGGGCTGCTAAACTAAATGCTTTGGAGAATCCACCAGCCTCAAATCTCAGCACTCTCCACCTTTTGAAACTCTGGGCCAA